TATTATATGAAGTAGAACACTGAACATTTTTCCAGACATTATTCCGAAGCAAAACAAATTTTTCGGAATGGATGTACTTGTATTACATGGGGGCAAAATATACTATGACATTTGGGAAAAATAACTGATTAGAGTTTTAATAGTATGGAAGTACTATTGTATTTGGCAAAGATAATTGATTTCCATTGTCGAGCTATTTTTGTAATTGAAGTCGGAAATAAAAATGTATTTGGCAAAGTTTTTTTTACACCGAAGGTGTTTTTTGAAGAGATCTTATTCTACGGTTTGTATTTCTGTAACTGTTCTTTCTTAATGTAACCTTAATCCTAATGGAGTTCGCTTAATCCTAGGCGTGTGAATGTCGAACTGTATCCTACTCTAACTTAATTCTAATGTGTCTTTATTTGTATGTAACCTTAGTCCTAACGGGGTTCCCTTATCCTATTCTGATTTAATACTAATGTGTTTTCGCTTGTTGGTGTGTTTCCTAGTGTTCTACTACTCTCCTAGTCCTACTATCCTATCCTAAGGTAGCTGAATTCTACTTTGTCGTAATGTACTTCTAATTCTCCTGTGAGGTCGCTTAATTCTACTTGTCCTTATTCTAGTTTTTCAGGTGTTTGTCTTAGAATGTATTACCTTAGTTCTACGCGTATGTACAAGCGGAAGGAAAGAACGGACGAAGAAAGAGAAGAAGAGAAAAGAATGCGAACTTAATGTTACTATGTCTAGAGGAAGCCTTTTTTTTTTGTATTCCTATGGTAATAGGGTCGGGCAAGCCGTCATGCCTTTCGAAGAGCGCGCCGCGAGGCCAGTGGCGCCCTCGGGCCCCTGGGCCGCCGCGCTAGGCGCGCGGCCACAACCACCGCGCCGGCGCGCCCGAGCGCCGCCGAACCGGCCCGAAGACGATCGAAGACCGAGCGGGGCGAGGCCCGCCGAGGAGACTTCCGTCTCGAATACGTGCGGAACAGGCAGATCGAAAAAGAGCTGTAAGTGTGTGTCTCTAGACTCCCCGAACCCTGTAGGCCTATTCTCTAACTCGTAACGACAGCTATCGTTATCGTTAATCTACCGAAGCGACACCGTAACGACAAAACCTATTCTATAACTTTCTTGAAGCGACAAACGTCGTTAATGTAGCGACAAATGTCGTTATGGGTATCGGTAGTATATCGAGCCCTAAAAGACCTCTCGCTAAGAGCGTAACGAGTAATGTCGAAGCGTTAACCAATGGGAATCCAAGAAAACCTCTTCTCTCATTGGTTCCATCGTGACATTTAAAATATATACAGAGACTCCCAACCAACAAGCTTTAATTAAACGCAATTTATGAATTTAACCAAACAGCAAATTTAGCTTTTGTAATTATTGACGTGGGTATTAATTTTGCGTAAGTTAAGTAATATAGAAGCAGTACATTCTAAGGTATGCATAACCTTTGTGTGCATGCAAATGTTTAAGAGTGAGGTTATGTTTATTCAATATATCTTAACATAATTTGTGTAAAATGTACGGTGTATGTATGCACTTTCAATAACTGTGTTGTTTTTCTATTATTTTATAGAAACAATGGCAGAACATTTTCTCGAGTGGGAACTTCTAGTACTAGAAATTCGAGTACGCCAATTAGAAAGACGAATAGAGATGAGACGTCTAAGAGATGCACAAAATCCATTTGACCTTCCTTCCAATGAATTTTTAAAACATTTCCGATTAAGTCCAGAACTTGCTATGGATATTGTCAATACACTGCGTCCACGATTGGAAAGAGAAAGAATTCATGGCTTATTACCAGAAGTAAAAGTATTAGTAGCAATTAATTTCTATGCTAATGGAAGCTACCAAAATCCAGTTGGTGCAAATATGAACTTGATAGTTAGTCAACCATCCGCTAGTCGTTGCATTCGTATGAAAAGAAAAGACTATTTCAAATACTAATATGAGAAAAGATTGCATTAAGTAGTGTTGAAACTGCTTTTTAATAAAGAGCTATTGAAAAACTATGAACTTCGCTGCTGTGAACCACTATTTTTAATTTGTATCCTTTGTATCTTTCAGTGTTCACAAACTCATCTTAAGAAAATGTGAAATTTCATTGGTTGAAAACAGTTATGCCGAATAGGGCATTGTCGCTAGCGTAACGATGTCGTTAGCTCATTTTGTATCGATAGGGTGTCGCTAGGAGCAGTTACAGAATACGCCATTTGTTAAGCTGTCGGTAGAACAAGCGACGACCATCGGTAACGTAACGATAACGACAGTTGTCGTTACGAGTTAGAGAATAGGCCTACTGACTACGGCCAGCGCACCGACATCCCGTCAACTCTAACTGACCGACCGAACGACTCGGCCGTGAAGGCCCACTGCTGTTGCCGATCCGGCCTATCCAGAGACGCCGCGCCGCCACCGACCCACAGCCACGAGGCGCCGGCCATTCCTACATTTTGGCCCACCAGCGCTCGCGTAATTAAGCAACTAGGCGTAAGTAGAGATTAAGAGTAGAGGTTAAGGTTTTAGCGTAGGTTAAATAAAATACGATCCGCATTTACCCTTTCGAGTGCTCTCTTTCTCTCTCCCTATCCCCTCACCCAATCATCATTACAAATGTAAGACTTTTCATATTGGCTTTTTTATTGTTATTAAATGTAACAATTCTTTATTATCATTATCATTTTAAGTATGGATTTTAAATTAAAACTACGAATGGTTTGTATAATATAATAATATCAATATAGGAAAAGTATCGATGCCAGTACCCCAACTGGAAAGTATTGATGTTAAAACAGGTATCGAAAGAAAACTACAAATTATTTGTAACGTAGACATGAGGATAGTATCAAGTTATCAGTACACAGAGCTGGAAGGGATAATGTTGAAACTGGTATCAATATATTTGTTATAATACATTTTTAGTTTTCTTTCGATACCAGGTTTAATATTAAATCTTTTACTTCTACAGTAAAATTAAATTTTCTTCTGACACCGATGTTAACATTAACGCTTTCAGCTTGGTGTACTAGTAGTACAAGGAAAGTATCGAGTCACAAGTACACCAAACTGAAAGTGTTAATGTTAAAACTGGTATCAAAAGAAACTTGAAATTGGTGTCGAAAGAAAAGTGAAACTGGTGTCGAAAGAAACTAGAAATTATTATAACATAGATAGAATAAAAGTGTCGAGTTACTAATACACCAAACGGAAAGTGTTAATGTTAAAACTGGTATCAGAAGAAAATTGAATTATTATATATAATGTAAAGGTAAAAGAGGAGTCGAGATATAATCTGATATCAGTTTGGTATCAGTTTGGAAGGATCGATACCAGAAATCACTAATGGAAATGTGTCGATCGATGTGAAACTTAGAAAAGAAGATTATACAAGTATTAATAGAAAGCTAGGAATAAACTGCATATTATCTAATTTAATATCGGTATAAGCACGGTATCAGTGTGGAAGGATCGATACCAGAACGAAATATTTATAACCTAAAAATGTCATCAATTTCTAACCTAAAAAATATAATGTTATCGATCTCAGTAATTCGAAAAGCATCCATTTGTCATTATACAGAAGAAACGACGCGTCAACACGTCGAGGATAAAAACCAATCAGAACTGCAACGAATGTGACCACGAGGTTAAGCGAAATTCTGGTTGGTTTTTCATCCTCGATGCGTTGACGCGTCGTACTCGGTGTGATCGTCGATCGTTGCAGGGCTGAGCGCCGCAGTTCATTATCATTCCGCAAGGGGCGCCATGGAATGTCGTACAAAAAGTCGTATGAGGGTTGACCTGTCATGTGAGTGCGAAAATGGTAGTTCGTGACTGGAGGGACGACGATGACGGTATGAGAACAACGATTCTGAGAGTGCCGAAAACATTATCGTGCCATAACTTAATGTACATAGCAGCAATCAGAGTCGGATAAATTAAAAAAAATTCCTGATTTTTTACTGAATTTTTTGAGTTGATCGAACGTTTATTTCTTTATCTGTAGCAAAGAAGAAATTATATTTTCATTTCCCCCACTCCTGAAATCCAAATCCTTACTGTATATAACTCTGTAGCGTCTNTTGCCTTTTTTTTTTACACCAAAGGTGTTTTTGGTGGGTCTTTTATACAATAAACCTTGTAAAACGAATCTCCATTTCTCTCGTTTCTTTACACCAATATCGATAAGTCCGCATAGGACTTGCTGAGTGGCTCACAGAATTCCTATCTCCCCATTTCCTTATTCTTCTCCTTAATCGTGAAGAAAGGCGTGGAGCTTTTGTGTGGCTCCCCTTCCCCTCGAACAGACCCAAATCTCACACCCACACCAAGTAAAGTTTCTGAGACCCCTTCTTTTCTTTTTTTTTTTTCTATTTAGCCTATCCTAAATTCCCAGACGTAACAAAGATACACGGGTTACGTAATATGCGGCAAAAATCTCGAAAAATGGGAAATTATTCAACCCTGCGGGTAATGTATATTTTTTTTAAATTTTATGTTTCTGTAAAAGTTGATATTTTAAAAGTTACTTTTCAGTATTCCTTGTTCAACGTCTTTAAAGTTTATTACATGGAGTAAAATAATATGTAAGAAAACCTTAGTTGTTAATTTTTTACTTTCCATATAACAATTTAGCTATTTTTTTTAATCTAGACGTTTTCTGGCGGTATTTAACAAGCCATCTAGTGGGTTCATTACTTCATGCATTGCCAACACTGAACCCGATGTCCTACGGAGATGGGAACGGGTTTCCTCCAAACCTAGATTTTTTCCCATTTTTTTGGCACCAAAATCGATAAATCGAATGGGATTTGCATGGGTTTGCGATCCAAGTGAGAGATCTGAGTCACTGAGCAAATAACATTTACGAATGTTTAATTGAGATTTTGAAATTAAGAAATGCAATTAAATATATAATTGTACTTCTTGTTATTATAAAAATCTTCTCATTATTAATATTATATATGGAATCATTAAACAAAATCTGGTCCTCATTGTTTCTGTGATAGCGAGGCACTTTCATAAAAAGATTGATCCATTGGTGTATATCAGTGAGAATATTTCTCTGATTGTATCATTTCTGTGTGCGGTATAACGAAACTTGTTTATCAATGCATGGTTCCGATAAGCAATTTACGTAACTTGAACCTAAAATTGAAATACAATATAAAACTGACTTTATTTTGAACATTGAATGAACCCTTGGTTCGTGCCGATGTGTCTTTCGTGTGATGAAAGTCCCAACAAAAACACCTTTGGTGTAAAAAAAAAGACAAGTTCATTGCCTGATGTCACTTCACGTTTCGGAAACACTACGAAAATTCCTACAAAGAATCAGTTGCCACTATCTTATTATCAATTAAAAAAGTTATGAAATCAACCGTAGTTGACAAGTTTAGAACAATTTGACCGGTGTACCGATGGCCTTTTAAAGTAGTGAAATCAGTTACCGAAAGACAAGTACAAATACAGCTCGATTAATAACAGTTCCTATAGCTTTGAATTGTTAATATATTATATGAAAGTAACAGTAAATAAACTTTCAAAAATATCTAACAATCAATGCTAGTATAATACTTTCATGGTCTATTATTTTTCTCACTTTATGGCCTCCACCCGATTCTATAAGTGTCTAATCTTTATTCTGACTGCAGTGGTAATTCTTAATATATGTATATAATAAGTAATATATGTATAGGGAGAGATGGAGGGAGAAATAGAAATGACAGAGAGGGAACCAGGAGGCTGAAAGGTGTTCCGTTAGGAGAAGCAAGTGGGCTGCCATGATAATAGGCCCGTGATCAAGTTCTGAGGAAGATCGTGGACGCACGATCTGGCCAGTAGCCTCTCTCTCTCTCTCTCTCTCTCTCTCTCTCTCTCACACACACTCATACACGCGCAGCAACGCGGCGA